TAATTAGAAAACTTTTGATGAATTTTTTTCCTCAGCTAACATTCAAGTTTGCAAAAAATCCGTGAAAATCTAAAGTCCAAACACCAACACCAAAATTTTATTCCATTCATAAAAAAAATTGTTGTTAATAGCATCTAAAACTGGTGGTTCTGTGATTTTCCTTCCATCCCGGGGTAGGAGATAAAGCAGTGGCTATAGGTGCAATGCCACAAACAAAAACCCAACTCCATCACAGAGAGATTGTAAGAAAAATGAATGGGTATGTTGGTGTCTGTTGTATTATATTGAGAAGTTGTTTGAGGAGATAAAGAAGAGAAAGACGCTATTAAGAGCATAGTTGCTGTGTGTTGCTGAAATACAAAAATTATAATATAATAATAATAATACGAATAGTAATAATAATACCAATTGGAAGCTAGATTTCCCCCCCTCCTACCCGAGCAACCAAGTCCTCTCATCCGAGAGATGGGGGCAGGGGAAGGCATGGCAGATCCCAGAGGGTAAATGTTGTCAACAAGCAAGACGCAAATGGTCTCTGCACCTTCTCCGCAGTCATAGGGCTCTCCGATAAGTGCATGCTTAATACATGTATGTAGCTGGGTATTCTCTACGTAAAGTCACATCCAGTACAGTGCTGACAATGAACCTCTGCTTTCCACCTCACCAATACCCGTCCCAACTCCAGGTCAAAGAAAGGTTGTCGATGGAGAGAGGAGAAAAGAGAAGTTAATAAATGTAATAAAATAAAACAATAAAGACAATAAATAGAAAGAGTAAGAAACATAGTAAAGTAATATGTCTCTTTTCGGGGTCACCCCTTGACCCGTTAGCTTCCTCTTTTTCTTTTCCTATTCGAAGAGTACTAATCCCCCCACCACGAAGAGGTGGGTCTATTGGGGGGGGGGGGGGGGGGGAATTAAAAAAAAAAAAATTCAACCAAGAAATTTTTAGTATTACATCTTCCCTTCCTTCTGTAAAAATTTCATGAAGATTGGATATAAAATAGTGGAGTTATTCAAAAACGTATAGAGAAAAGTCGCGTTTTGAGAAAACGTCCGATAAAGAAAAATAAAATATTGACTTTATGAGGAAATGGTGGCAACAAACATCCCCGGTAAGGGAGAAAAAATGCGGTTTTGGGGACAAAATAGTTGTAGGAGAGGCTGAGGAAGCTAAACATGCCTGCAACTCAAATTCTTTAATTTTGAGCCGAATTGGGACTTTGGGGGAATCTCTCCCCCCCCCCCCCCACCTTACATTAAACATCTTGCTGGCGAGACAGATGATAGGAGCAATGATGTAATTTTGCCGCCCGGGACAACCAAGACCCCAACCAAACCTCTACATTATGATTTGTATAAGTGGGTGGTTTACGGGTGCTCTAGTGTGATTTTCCTATCAAAATATCTATCGTTCTTATCTAACCACTCTTTTTCTTTTTTAAGTTACTCTCTAGTAAGACTTTTAATCTTTAACACTTACATAGCCAATTTGTGTTGCTAAATGCCGCGAAACTCTTACAAAAATTAAAACTTTAATTTACACTCAGGGCATCATCACAATTGAGAGTTGGAAAAATTGATGAAGTAGCACTTTGAAAAATATTCAAGGACATTTAAAAACGAAGATACGGTCGAAGCAAAACGCATTTTACTGCCCTTCTTAACGGATGAATGATAACGTTTATTGCAAAATTAAACTTTTTTTTGACACTGAAAGGTGCACAGTTCATGGCGTTTTCTGTTTCCTTTGTTATTTCTGTCCTTCTTATGCGGCAGTATCTAATTTAAAAAAAAAAAAAATTAGAACAGTTCAGATCTGCTACTTAGCACAATCTGACAATTAACGTGCAGCCAACAGTGAAACAATTTTTTTTTAGCAAAAGATTGAATGGAAACAGAGAACAGGAATGTGACTTTTACGAGCAGAACGCCGAACAACGTGAACAAAGGCATACGAAGTGCAGTGCCAATTGATGTTCTACTCTAGTATAAAAGGATCGGAGTTTCTCCACAAACTTCGTGTCACTTCGAAGCACCCCAGAGCCACGTTAGCTCTGAAACACTGGTGAGTACGTATGATAACTAGTCAGTGAGGTTAGTGTCTTTCATATCTATAGCATGTGTCAAGACGGTACTGCAGGGTTCTTTGTTTTAGTAGTAAGGGTTTTACGGCACTTGCAACACAATTATGTCATATAAATGCCGAAGATTAGAGATGTTACAAGAGATTAACCAATACAAAGCAGAAGGAGGAGAGATAAGGATGATAGATGTTTGATAGGAGAGAAGAAGCGAACCACACCAGAGCATCCGCCAATTATCCGCATTCAGGGTTCACCACCAGAAGGTAGATAGAGAAACAGGCAAGGAAGGAGATGGGTTGGGAAACATCCTAGAATGGACAGATCTGAGGCCCAGCAGCGGATTGAGAGGTAGAGAGCAGGACGGGCTGAAGCAATACGATTACATTGTGCAAGTTCGTCTATGGTGCCCCAACTGCCTATGAGTATGTCGTAAATGCGAAGTAAGAATTAGTCTGTAGAACGACGAAGAGAGATACAGCGGTAACTCTTTGGTGACGTAATGGACGCATGATGTCCAATCAGCAGCAGACCAAAGACAAGGAAGGTTGAATAGTGTTTCGGACCATCATCCACAGAAACACACATTAGCATTTTTCGCAGTATGCTTGTTGTTGCCAGCCTTTTTGAGTTTTGGATAGAGAGAAAACAACTGAGCAATCTGTGAGAATAATGAAGTTATGCTTCCATGTACCCTCCTCCCCAATCCAAAACAACAACAACAACAATAACAACAGCAACAACAGAGAGAGAGAGAGAGAGAGAGAGAGAGAGAGAGAGAGAGAGAGAGAGAGAGGGGGAGAGGGAGAGAGAGAAAGAGAGAGAGAGAGAAAAAAAAAGAGAGAGAGAGAGAGAGAGAGAGAGAGAGAGAGAGAGAGAGAGAGAGAGAGAGAGAGAGAGAGAGAGAGAGAGAGAGAGAGAGAGAGAGAGAGGATCGCGCAAACAGGCAGCCTTCAGTGCTCCTCTTAATTTGTGGTGTTCTTGACTGTTGTAATTCCTAGATATTTTAAAAGTTATACCATCAAGTGCGCTAAGTTTCGGTGATTATTGTACTATAAATTTCTCCTTGAAGTAGTGAAAATTACAAGTTATTAAAATTTTTCTGTGTCGGTGGACTGATGTTATCAATACTAAGCTACGAGAGCTTTTTTAAAAGTCAGTTTTGGTTCTTTGCTAAAATATTATTTTGACAAGTGAACACTTTCCCCAAATGAACACTCAGCCTGTGGTTTTTGACACAGACAGGGTAGACCTATTTACTGAAGAGGAAAATAAAACAACATACTCCCCAGACACTCTGTTGTCATTTCGATCACTGAGCCATGTTTCAATACCTCTGAATGTTATGAGGAGACTAAGAGAAAACAATTGAAATAGGATCCCAAAAACTAAAAGGTAAAAAAGAGGAGGAAAAATAAAAATAAAATTTAACATGCTTAAACAAAAAACCCAGGTCAAACAAAAGGACACCAAACCAAAGCCGACACCGCCTCAAATTAAGAAGAGAGGTGGTGGCCCTGGCGAAAAGCACGCTCTTCGTGGCTCCAAACATTTCGAACACACACACACACAACAACAACAAAAACAACAAAAAACAACAACAGCAAACAACAACAAAAATTACAACAACAACGAAAACAACAACAACAACAACAACAACAACAACAACAACAACAACAACAACAACAACAACAACTAAACAGTTTGTCTTCAAGCGTTTTCGAATGACCAGAATACACATCTGCAGTGTGTAATAGGGCCAACGCTTTGTAAAAGTGCCGACAGCATCGAGTGTAAGGAAATAATCAGCATTTTGCTAAATATGTTTTATGCCTCACTGCTAAGCCTTTCATTCGCTGAAGTCACCCAAACAATTTATTGGTCAAGCAAAACGGCATTTAGTTCAACGAAATAATTGACTTTCGATTTTAAAATATCATTTAAAGTACAAATATTAAAGAGCATGTTTCTGTTACTGATCATACATGCCCGTTGGTATAAAATAATAATATTATTATCATGTACGAGGGCGCATCCACGCTCGCTTGAAGACACGGTAACAAGCTGTACCTATCGCTACCAGTATAAAAGAAAACAGCACAGATGACACAATATCACTTTAAGGGGGGGGGGGGGGGCTACACCTAATGGCTATCTCGCTTATTACAGGACCACATTTTACCAAATTTCACACATATGTGAGGCACAGTGGTGGAATCAGGCTCTCGTCAAATTTTGGGCATGTCGAGTAATTGGTATCATCTTAAAGCTTGTTCACTTGTCTTTTTTTGTATGAAAAAAAATCTATTTATCTTGAAAACAAGTCGAGATATTTTCGAATGAAGGAGTTGAGGGTCACCTGTTTTCAGAGGAAAAATTAGTGAGAAAATGGCTGCCAAAGATTCCTTATTTCTTTTGCTTAAGAGTCTGTGGTAACTGAAAATTTCCATTTTTTGTACCTTTAATCAACGTTTTTCAGAAAAAATTCTCACCGAAATGAGTTCTTTAATGGGCATGAAAGGTGTTGGGCCAAAAAACAAAAATGTGATACAAATTCACAAACCAGCGAAAAACTGCAAGTTTCTTCACACTTTGATTAT